TTTTTTTTGTTTGGGTCTTTGTTTTGATAATTAAATTGGGAAATAAAAGAGTCTTTTCTTATTTATTTTAGAATAATTTTGATAATTATTAACCTTATTTAAATTATTAATCTCAGGCATAATATTTTTCTTAGTTTTGGTAGAAACCCAGGACTCAATGTCATCCTTATTATTAAGTCAAATATAAAACCAATCACAAAATATTTTAGATTTTTAGATAAAAAAATTCTCCCTATTGATAATATTATTTTTCCCTAAATAATTATAGAATAGAAAATTGCGGATAGGGATACCTCCCAGCATATTAAAAAATTTCTTTTTATTTGCGTTGAGATTATAAAAAATTTTTTCACCGCACTTAGCTCTTATGGCCCAATGACTAGTGCCATTAAAAAAATACATATCTCCTCTCCTGAGCGAGTTTTGAATCTGCCTCATAACAAAAAAGTTCAAAAAAAAAATTTTTTCTTCACCATTATTTACTTGTAATGATGACCTATAAATGTATGAATCCTTTTTACCTTTGTTATCCTTCCTATTGATAGATTTATACAAGAAAAAATTATATCAATAAGGGTTTTGAAAATTCAATTTTTTATATTTTTGATTCATTAATGAGTCTACGGTTAAAGTCATTTTCTTAACAATCTCTCAATATCTTGTTCATTAAGAAAATCTTTTCTTTGTGCGGTGGTAAAAAAAAAAAAACTGCTTTAATATAGGATGGCTTTGTATTTCTTCATTCCTTCCCATCCAATAAAAAAGAAGGGTTTTCTCATTTTTTATTTGGGTCTTTATTTTGATAAGTTGGGAAATAAAAGAGTCTTCTCCTATTTATTTTAGAATAATTTTGATAATTATTAACCTCATTTAGATTATTAATCTCAGGCATAATATTTTTATTAGTCTTGGTAGAAACCCAGGACTAAATATCGTCCTTATTATTAAGCCAAATATGAAACCAATTACAAGGTCTTCTAGATTTTCAGATAGAAAAATGCCCCCTATTGATAATATTATTTTCCCTTAGATAATTAGGGAATAGAAAATTATGGATAAGAATACCTCCAGCATATTAAAAAATTTCTTTTTATCTGTGTTGAAATTATAAAAAATTTCTTCGTTATTATTTACTTGTAATAATAACCATAAATATGTCCTTTTTATCTTCGTTATCCTCTTTATTAATAGATTTATACAAAAAAAAAAAATTATCTCGATAGGGTTTTTGAAATTTTGATTTTTCATATTTTTGATTCATTAATGAATCCGTTAAAATCATTTTCTTAACAATCTCTCAATATCTTGTTCGTTAAGAAAATCTTTTCTTTGTGCGGTGGTCAAGAAACCATGCTTTAACATAGGACGGCTTTGTATTTCTTCATTCATTCCCATCCAATTAAAAAGAAGGGCTTTTCTCATTTTTTTTTATTTGGGTCTTTATTTTGATAAATGGCAAAAACTCCTATTTGCGGCTGCACCCTCCATTTACTTTTTTTCATAGTCAACACCTTTTCGAACATTGTCTTCCTGGTCAACACCCTCCACTTTTTCAAATTCTTAAAAAATCTAATATTTTAACAAATCATCACGAAGACGTTAATGATAATTAAAAAATACAATACATGACATTCAAATAGTGATGTAACTATTTATATGGCATTATTAATCAGACGTGGATACTCTTTTGATGATGTGGTATAATTTTTTATGCACACGTGGATCCCTCCTCCTCCACATCATCATCTTCACCATCCTTTTCATCATCTTGGGTTCCTCGTGGAACCTAGAAACTGAACCTCATTTTTGGGATTCATATCATCAGGAAAGTTCAAAATAAATGCTGGAGTTGGAATTAAGTACCGCCAAAACACAAAGGAACAAAACAAAGAACTAAAAAATTGCAAAATTAAGCTCAAAGAAAAATCCTACATATGCTCATGATTACGTATACACAAGAAACGCTGGGAGACCAAATGAGCAAGAACATAGAGAAAACTAAATCTTCCTCAACAAATCATTCAAAATGCACAAATTGAGCTCATTCAAAATGCACAAATTGAGCTCATTCAAAGACTTGAATTTGTCAAAAGATAAACCACAATAGCTAAAAAGGTACCAACCACAAGGAAGAAAAGCACGATTGTAAGAC